CCCCAAAACCCCAAAACCCCAAAACCCCATCTGTCTTAAAGAATAAAAATTTTCAAAAATGTTACAGTGAGCTTTCTCCAACAACAGGCATCAGGCGTTAATGTCTCTACAAGAGCAGGCTGCGCACTTGAAAATCCTTAAGGAGAATGATAAAAAGCCAAGTATGTTCCAAAAGAAATGTCTGAGTAGTAAGCCAATATTGAATTTTCATGCTTCAAATGCTGATTCATAAAATAAATTACAAAGTTTTACCATGAGGTCAGGATAGAAAGTATCCCATTGGTAGTCCTAAGAGTCTATAGCTAGTATCTCGTAGCCTTTTGGAGTTGCAATTGAACACTCCTTACTAAACAAGGGAGGAAATACGTTAATATAGACCAGAACCAACATCTAGGTCAGCCTAGTCCACATGAAATATACACTTCAGCAGATTATAAGAAAAGTTATCAAGATAAAAGGTAAATTACATATTTGTCCATTTTCCTTCTACATCTCAGAAATAATGAGCTGGTCTTGGATCCAGTGATATCAAGCTCTTGGAGATTTCGTGATTCCGAACTTAACCTTTGTTCAGAAGCTACATTGATAAATGTAGAGACACAGAAATTTTACTTGAAAACAAGATCCTTATGGCTAAAATATCAAAAATAAATAAAATCGGGTCTGGAATTCAAAAGAATCTCAAAGTGTAATTCAGTCAGTAATAGATTATTTAGTGCCAAAAGAAGAAGATCTGTAACGGCAAAATCTACTAAGAAGAAGTTGACACTGAGCAAGGATAAGTTGGCCAGGACCAGCACCAGAAAGTCACTTTTGTCGAAGTCTTCAGCCATTGACTCAAAACATCACCTTGAGAATAAGCAAATAGTTGCCAGGATCAATCAAGTTAAATCGGTTGTTGCCAATCAAATGAAGGTGCACCAGTCTCATGAGATTGTGAAAAAGTAAAATTAAGAGATCTTGGCCTTATCATTGACTAAAATGTCCTATTCCACATTAAAATTAGCTTTATGCTATATTATAGAGTTCCAAACCATAATAAATTTTCCTTCTGAAAAGGCAGATCTAAGTACTTTATCAACCAAGTTAATGGTTTACGTAAGCTTGTTGCTGATCATTACAGAAATCTCAGAGCATCAGGAACCTAAGACTAACGTCTTCCAAAGACTCTGCCCAAAAGAGAGTTACCCTCAACAAGATTTTGCAAAGCCACATCTGAAGCACAGTTGCTCGAGAGGTCAACTGGCTACTACTTTTAACACTTTATGTAAAGATAATAATGAGGTCAAAGAGGCGCAAGTGTCTATTGATCCAAAGCTCAACCAAATTTTTATACCAAGCTCTATAAATAGTCCAAAAGAAATGGCTAAGCATCTTAATGTCAACCCAGTAAGAATTAATTTTCATTGTATTGGATAAAAATATTTTATTAAAGAAAAATATTTGAAGATTTTCTTAAATGATCTAGAGCAATTTTAGAGGTATTGCTTGAGAGTTTTGTTACAAAATGTAAATAATTTTGAAAGATATATGTGCTAAACATTACAGTTTTTGATATTACTCAAGTTTTACTCAGACAACTTTAGAACAACCAAAAGTCACATCAGGATTCTTCAACTCATTCCAAAATGAGTAAAACTACAAGAGCTCGACCAATGACTCAAAATGAAGACCAAAGATTTCTCTCAAAATTCCAAGAAGACGAAGAATATCGTCCTTCTACCAGCCGTCAGCTCCCCACAAACTTCAAACTCCAAAAGTACTTTTCCTTCTCACCTCTAGCGAGTCCAGTCCGAACTACCTAAGAGCTCTTAAGAAAGCAAGGAGCTCCTCCAGAAGATCTCTTAAGAGCACGGCAAAGTCCAAAAACCCAAAAATCTTCACTTCATATTCCCAAAGAACCCTTAAATTATACCAAAACCCCCGCTTGCACTTGAACAAGCCAGTGGGCTCCGCCAATGGGAAGAAGAAATCCCAGCCAGATATTTGGAACAAAATAAATATGTTCTAAGTCAATATAATTTTTAAGGCAAGGGGTTTTGGGGTTTTGGGGTTTTGGGGTTTTGGGGTTTTGGGGTTTTGGGGTTTTGGGG